CAAATCTAAAGATAACCAAGTAAGGATCTTTTTCCTATTCCCACCATCCCTTCTTTAATTTTTAGTGTTTTTTTGGTGTTTTGATCCATGCCCACTTTATATTTTTGTTGTTTGAGATGATTTTTGTATGCATAATCGTGTCGAATCATTACCGTGTGCTTGCCGAGTAGTTTTTGATGTTGAGCTGTTTGTTTGGAAAGGGGAACTTCATGTGGTGCTTGAGTAGAAATTGAGTTGTTGTGCTTCAAAATCGAGTCGAATCCTTACCGTGTGCTTGTCGAGTAGTTTTGATGTTGGACTGTTTGCTTGGAAAGGGCAACTTCATGTGGTGCTTGAGTAGAAATTGAGTTGTTTTGCTTCAAAATTGAGTTGAATCCTTACCGTGTGTTTGCCGAGTAGTTTTGATGTTGGACTGTTTGCTTGGAAAGGGCAACTTCATGTGGTGCTTGAGTAGAAATTGAGTTGTTTTGCTTCAAAATCGAGTGTTTGGAACCATGAGTTGTTGTGAAAACCGGTTCGAAATTTATCCGTTTGTGGATGTGATTTTTCTCGGATAATGTAATCCCGGCTGGCCGGGATGTCATTTTTTGGAGTTTATTGAAGCTGCATTTAGTTCATTTTGAGAAGCATTCTGACATAGACGATCGCCAATCAATAAAATTAAAGTGATTTCTTGAAAGTTTTTGTTAGATATAGGCTTAAGATTCTTATTACTAATGCTTTCTTGTTATTAGTTCATCGGCAATTGTTGTAGCCAGATTTGATTTCAGCATTTAAAAGTGAACTCTTACTGATTTTGGTATAATCAAGCGATTACTCGAAAGCGTTTGTTGGATCTGGGCTTATGATCTGTGTTATACAGACATTTTTGTTTCAGTTATTTGTTAGATCTAGGCTTAAGAATCTGTTTTGCAAACGTCTTTTCGTGAACGCATATGCCTATGAATAAACGTTTATGTGTCTTTTGGTTAATGTTCGTTCGTAATTTGTTGATCTACTCCATTTGTTCGTTATTTGTGTAGCTATTGCAATGGTTTTCATATTTGTGTAGTCATTGCAGTTTTAACCCAAATTAGCTACATAATCTTTACACTTTCTCATTTTCTTTCTTTCATTTGTTTTAGCTGATCTATGATAGATGGTATAAGGAGTAATCATCTCTTAATTATTTTTAATATCTTTCAACTCTTGAAATAGGCTTGCACGGGAAGTTCCAAGAAATCAGGAAGGTATAGTTTTGGATTCGAACGAATTGAACTGAAAAAAAATAATATCATTTTTTTTCTCTCTTCTTCTTTTACTTAACTCATCTGACGATAAAACTCAAAATTAGAAACAACAACACACGGAAAAAAAATACCCGGCTTATCGATTTATATGAAGATGTGGCGTCCATGTATTCCGTCATGGAGCGTGCTGATCGAGTGCTAGCATGCTTAAAAAGTGAGCTTGAAGTCGAACTCCCGTTTTTCTTGAAGTCTATGCTCCCCTCAAATGTCTCTCATGGATTCTGGCTAGTAAGGAGCTAGCCATTTGAAAATTTCTATCATTTTTCTTGATTCCTTTCTTTTTTTTTTTTTTGAAACTTATTTATTTTATTTTATTTTGGTAATGCTTTCTTATGGCAGCATCTACCTAAAAATTTCTGCAGACTTCATTTGCCCAATCACGATACGTCTATAACTTTGGTGGATGAGTGGGGGAATGAATACAAGACCTCTTATCTTCTCGAGAGGCATGGCTTGAGTGCCGGGTGGAGAGGCTTCGCGATTGCTCATAGGCTATTGAAAGGCGACATACTCATTTTCCATTTGACCGAACCTTGCAAATTGCAGGTAAATAAGTTTTTATAATTTCCTCTTTAATCGAAGCTCAAGTTAAAATATTAGAGGTAGGATATGATAGTTTTAAGAAGAGATGGAGAAACTATTATTATGGTTTGTTGAATCTAACCTTAATAGT